CTTTCGCAGTTGCATTTGGCGTAATTTTATCTTAAATTTGTGTTGTGTGCAAGTTAATGTCCATGTCAACACTATTGCAAGTTGCATGCTGTAGAGATGGAGATGCCCCAGTCTGTTAAGTTGCCTGGTAAAAAAACTGACCACATGTTCAGGGTCACTATATTGTCTTTGACAATAAAATTGTAGCCCTGACAGCTTCTCAAGAGTCCACTGCTGTGGAAGTTGGCAGTCACTCACACATGTAAAGCTATTTCAGCTTCAGTTAGTTCATTGATGATGCTTTTGCATTACATTCTTTTGTCAAGTACATGGACAAATCATGAAGTAATTGCTATTTTGTTATGTCGTAATCACAAGAAAATGAAGCTGTGATCACAAGAGAACAAGAAAGAAAAAAAAAAGCTAATGCATTGCCTCTTAGGGCTTCCGTAATTGTCTCTTCAGCAGAAATTTATAATCTGTTGATTTTTTTGTGCAAATGAGAAGGGTAAGGATCCTTATTGCATAAATTTACACTTGTGAGTGTCGCACCAGTTGCCGAACCTAATAATTACACTTGGGTCTTATCAGGACTGTTAACGTGTTAACTATATTCAAATTATGAGATTAATCACAATTAAATATGATTTATTTCTCGCTTTCTGACCCAGACGGCAGGTAAAGTATGCAACCTGTAGTGAGAATTATGGGATCCGTCCGCCTGCTCCTGAGCAGTATCTCACCCCACTGCAGCAGAAGGAAGTGTGTATTCGTCATTTACGAGCTCGGCTGAAAGAAAAGGTGGAGAGGCTTCAGGACAGGTCAGTAAGGCTTTTATCTCTCAACAACATGTCAGTGGAGTTTTATAGCTTATTGACATCCTGAGTATCATACATGTGGCTATATACAGTATATAGCAGAACCTACCCTGCATTTGAATATGCCTACAAATATAGTATTAAACATTATCATACTACACACATTCATACCATATAGAACATACTTTTTTATGGATGTCAAGCAAGTTTCAAATCAAATGTAGTATCTTACTTAAAGGGGTCATATGATGTTGCTAAAAATAACATTATTTT